GTTACGAATGAACATGTCATTAATTGTATTTATGTAGTGATGTTGTAAATGTTAAAAAAATCAATTATGGTACGGAACTGAACAAAATCGAACCGAATCGAACTGAACTGAATCCAATTGGTTCCATAATTATATTTGGACCAAACGGTTTCATTTATTAAATACTCGAAAATTTTGGTTCGGTTCAATTCTGAGAAGAACCGGATCATGTCCAGCCCTATAATTAATCAACACTGTTGCTGGTTCTATGAATAAATTTTTCACCCAATGGGGTTCTTGTTTATTCAAATTGTTCCACTTTTACTGTAATTGAAGATTCTACATGTTGCTAACTAATTGTATTTTTTTTATATTCCTCTCTTTAATTTTTTAAGGTTACTGGAAATGGTAAAGCTATTTTAAGCTGTGGTTTTCTTTCTGTGATTATCATTATACTTGATGTTATATTCTAATCAAATCAGAACAACTCTATAGTTTAGGATAAATTGGATATTGATGAAATCACTTAGCAGGGGGACCAAGTCAAAGAATTTCGACCTCTATGTGAAGTTTAAAGTGACAAAGCAACCACAGAAATATCGAGTCATTACTGAGGAAAAATTGCCCATGTTCTTCATATTCCAGGCAACATTTTAAAGGTAACCAAACTGATAGAACTAGAATTTATTGTAAAATCAAAAGCTTAGGCCACTTTCACATAATGGAGTTCTAATATCTACTTGTGGTTACAAAGTTACTTCAAGAATAGGTGGCATAATTATATGTATAACCGTGTCCATAGATAAAGGATTTGCTCCTTTTAATAATCTAATATTGAATTATCAATCATGATTCATTTATGTGCAGATAAAACTATGCTCGCAAGCAAGATATCCAATTTATGTGATGACGTGAAAAAGAAGTGCAGTGAACTTCGAATACTTCAAGGAATTAAGACTTTATCCATCATTGTTGAACCTCAAGTAAGGCTTGGTCACACTGTGTTTCTTATCTTATGTTGTTACTTTTATGTTAAGGGCATATTAATTTGTCTATTCACAGTCGAATTTATCGAAACAAAATATATTATACACAGAGGCGGACGCAGACTTTTTATGTTGGAGGGCACAATCAAACTTTCAACAAGTGACGAAAAAATTAAAGTAAGAGATATTTTATTATAATTGTTCTCATGTTCTCATATTTTGATAACGTTCCATAATTAAAGTGAGAAATAGAGAAAAATTTAATGTAATTTCGTAATTCAAATCAACAAAGAAATTGAGTATACAATCTTGGTCATCAAGAGCTACACAAACTTTGATAGAATCCAAGTCAGAAATTTATATGTACATTTCTTAAATTCTGAAACTTATATAACAGATGCAACAAATAAATCAATAAGGCATAAGAAAATGGTAAGAACAAGACTTATTTTCAATGCATCAAATACCCGAGAAACAATCCTTGCTCATTCAAGTTCAATCATATTGCACAACTCTTTCTTCTGATTACATTCAGTCGGATTAGATTCTCATAGGCTAAAAGGCTCTCAAAATTTCCTTAAAAATGTCACTTCAACTGAGAATTTTACTTGTGAATCTCATGCATTATAAGAACGTAACTAAATTCAATTAAGAATTCTTCTATTCCTATTCATTGATCTAATCAAAGTATACGATCATTTTACACTGATTACTTCGTTTAGTACTGGTTTCAGCACTATAGCTCACAGAAACCTTGCCTACTAGCTTTTTCCTTGGGTCAGATCTTAGAATTCTTTGTCGCGATTGAACTTGAAATGGCTATGGAGTGGAGACAGACTTTNTTTTTTTTGTGGGGGGATGGGGTGGCACCTGCCCCCCCAAGCCACCCCCCACGTCCGCCCCTGATTATACATGCATGTTTCATTCTTGATGGCGAACAGATATTCACTATCATTGGTGATGGAAGCAGCTGCTTTAATGGCCATTGTTCTTGCAAACGAAGGAGTAAGGATCATTTTAACTTTTATCTCACCTCCTACATCACCATTAGTGAAATATCAAAGCAAGGATCTCAAGTTAGGTTGTCGAACTTTTTAGAATTATAAACTTGGAAATAGATAAAAGTTTATTATTGTTAAGAATCAAATACTGTAATAAATTCATGTTCATAAACCTATTCTCCATAGCACAAGCCATCAGACTTTTTCGACTTTGTTGGCATCATTGTCTCGCTCCTCATCAACTCCAGAATCAGTTTTATTGAAGAAAATAATGCTGGAAATGCAGCACTTGCCCTCATGGAGCGATTGGCTCCAAAAGCAACAGAGAGGCTACTTGTACCGGGTCAGGGTGACAAACACCCGACCGGCCCCTCACAATGTGGGGGGCCCACTTTTTTATTTTCAATTTTTTATTCACGTGGGGCGGCAATCATGTGAGGGTTTGTCAACTTTTTTGTCAAATTTTTTTTGTACAATTAGCTTTTTTCCAAAAGCAAAGGTTTGCTATTCTGAAATAGCTTCCAACTACAAATCTGCACCATTTATTCACCTTAGTATCATATTCTCTATCAATCTTTGACCTTATATAGAAGTTATTCAATCTGTTCCCAACTCCACGTTCTGCGAGTTGGGAAATGGAGTAGGGAAGAAGCCTCCATGTTGGTTCCTGGGAACATAGTATCAAACTTGGACATATTATTCCAATTGATGCACGCCTTATAGAAGGAAATCCTCTTGAGATTGATACATCCTTTAATAGTTATTATTAAAAACTATGAACTTAAAATAAGGTTTTTCTAGCTTCAGATAGGGTTTGTATTTAGCCTATTTTTTCTTTGACCAAAGCTGCTATAAATAAATTGCTTCCCAAAAACTCATTTGCTCATATCTCATCAATCATAAATATTCAATCCACTAACATTACCTTCAACAAAAGGTGCATTGCATGGGCACATCACTAGTATATATAAAAATGATTAATATTCAATCCACTAATATTACCTTCGAAAAAAGGTGCATTCCATGGGCACATCACTAGTATATATAAAAATGAGGAACGATCTAATGAATACTAGTGATCATCTTATATTAAACACCGGTGATGAGACATAAATTTATTGGTAAATTTTAAACTCAATTCAAATGTTGAGACCTACCATAAATTTATCCACCAATAAATTGAACCTTTGATTAATTTAAATTAAATGTCACAATTATTTCTCAAATGTTTCAAATTTATGAGTAAGAAGAATAGTCCCCATTACATCTTTATCACTTGATTTGTAATTAATATTTTTAGATTTGCATTCATAATACTTTTCTTTATTGAGTATTATTGGTTTCAATAGAATAAGTCCTTGTTTGAATCTCATTTTTTTCATCTAAATACATTTGTAAATAGTGATTTGATCTCACAAGCACACATTTTTTAATAGAACAATATTACACGCAAACTCAAAACTTTTCCTTATTTTTTAACCGCACAAACTACAACAAAAAACTCACATTTTCCTTAAAAAACCAACTTAGGGTCCTTTTGACATGATTTTTACTTTTACTTTTGTAGAAGAACTTTTAGAGGAAGCCACTGTTTCTTCTAAAAACTATTCTAACTAAAAGAAACACTTCCGTAAAATTATCCAAAAGAGTCTAAAAGCAACTTTTTGATCTCAAAAGTTTATTTTTGACTTTTCAAAAATCATGTCAAATGCTCCCTTAATGTTGCAATTGAAATAAAAGCGGAAAACAAATTTATACTTGTTGAAGCCTTGGTTTCATCTCATCATAGGAAATGAAGATTTTGAAGGAGAGAAGAACATGGCTGTTCATAATCAAGGCCTCTACATGCTACTTTGCTGGAGCCAACATGATGACTAGAAATGCCGATCATAACCACCCTCTTACTCAGGTTCTTTTAAGTTCAAATTGATAGAATCATATCATTCAGTAGCACACAAGTAGAAAGACCAAAACTATTTGCAATCAATGTGCTATTTTTTTCAAAAGCTACACAAAAACCATAATCAAGAAAATATTTATATTAGTATATACAAAAATAGCAGTTGACTCACCTACTGGTTATATGACTATATTCATACTAATCAGTCAGACTGATTTATTTATGCATATTGATTAATTTTTGAGAAGTAATATTATGCAATCAAGACGGGAAAAGTTATCCTCTTCAAGGAACTCAATAACCCCCACATATACATCTCTCTGAGCCTATGCATTGTGCATTATGCGGTAAAGGAAGCTTCTTGCAAAAGTATGGAGAAAGAATATTAATAAATTAACATTGCTTCAGATCAATAGGAATTCGTGCAGGAAATTGACGACATAGATTCTGACAAAATTTTGCTGTATTTTGTCCAAATCTGAGATATTATCTCAAGCATCAATTAGCCAATAAAGGCATTTTCTCAAATACCTCTATCAAACCAACACGAGCATGAATCTATCATATCCTTGTCAACTACCGTTAGCCTATGGAATGTAAACATAACTATGACCAATTGGGTATCACAAGCACAATCTAGTTTCCATTGAAACTATCTGTCCCAGCTGCAATACAAAATTACAATAATTTTGCAGAGAAGAAATCGACAACTGCAAGAGAAATGGTTTCTAGATTGGTAAATGCGAGTGGCCTAAAACCTTATTTTGTAAAAAAATCAGTTTCAAACACCTTTTAATGTAAGAACTCGGACTACAAATATCTAGATTCACAGATATAGATTATACTGAGGAGAGAAAATTACCAGACCGGCAGGATGGTTGGTAGGGAGGGAGCCGATGGGATGGAAGTTAGTTAGGGTTCAAAATATTATGCACTTCGAAACCATAATATTTTCTCAACTAACTAAACAGGAAACTTGCTGTAACATGCCGACACAAAGTTCACGGATTTATAAATATTTCACGAATCAGTTATGGAAATTTTTGGACTTGATGCATATTACTAATTTATCAATCTCTTTTCCGAAATGTCGAAACAATTTAAATCTCAATCGCACATGAAAGTAAAAATTTTCTAAGCAGATTGTAGTATCTTCTTGTAGTCCTGGAATGTTCCATCGAAAGGATTCACCTTGCCTTCTGAGACAGCCCACAGCTGATCTACACTTCCAGAGATCAAATGCTCGTCGTGACTTACCTGCAGATGTTGACAGACGACCGCACCGTTAATAAACAAACTAAACCCCAAACCCATGAATCCTTGTTATTTTGCAAGTAAAAAATTACAATATGGTTCACCATACCATTAACACACCCCCTTGGAACAAGACGAGACCTTGGATCAATGCTTCCACTGCATCCAAATCCTACAATTTGACAATTATTTCAAGTATCACTTTACTGGCATGCCAAAAGTAGAAGACTCAAAGAAGAGTTCAAGTGCGTGATTGGTACAATATAATATGTATAATATAGCTTCTTTTTCTACCTTGATATAGCCCAGGCACACTTCCGGGGCAGCATCATGATAAAGATTTTTCTTCCAACTAATCTCATCATGAATAGGCTAATTTACGATAATATGCTAAACAAATCAAGCATCAAAGCATAGAAGAAATGCAGGTCATTTTTAAGCATGGTGCTGAAATGTGATGCAGAATTAATTAATGACTTAATTAAGTAATCAAAGAGTTATTTAATGTCTTAGTCAAGGAGTCGAGTCGAGTCAGTCAAGTCTTTGTTTAGTTTTAATTATGTTTTGATATTTGTAGTCTCAACAAAGTCTATTTGTCTTTCCTAGATTAAATTAATATGCACTTAGTAATACTAAGAGTCATTTTAAATGTCTAGAAGTCATTGTAGACTATAAAAGTGTCTATGTACTTGGAAGAAAAGGGGAAGAGAACATTATTATCAAATAAAGTATCAAGTTCTATTTCTCTGGCTTCATAACTTTCAGGGTTTTTCTTCCAGGATTCTGCCTTAAAGAAATCTGGACTCCAACGGTGATTGGAGTATTAAATCTGTCTACGTCAAGTGGTATCAGAGCTTGCCTAAGATCTGTACTTAGTGCCAGATGGCGGGACAAGGTATCAATGCAGCTGTTGAAGGAGTTACTTGGGAAGATTTTCATAATCTGCAGCAACAGATCACTCCGTTGTTCTCTAGATTAGAGCAGGCCTATAAAACTGAAGGGCTATGCTTCTTCCTGGTGGCAACAAGTCGAGATGACAAGAATTCAGTCTGGAAAAGACAAAATTCAAAGCTGGCCAAAGATGCAACATATGATTCGAAGCTAATTTCTTCCACTAAATTATGAAGGAATTCTTTTTCAACACTACCAATCTCTTCAGCAAGGAGCACGCATAGTTCGGGAATATTCAAATGAATTCTATAAAATGAAAACACAAATGCAATTATTGGAGACAGAAGTGCAGGTGATACATCGTTATTTGATGGGCTTGAAACCCAATATTCGAAATTTTGTGGAAGTACAACCCTGCTCGACATTGTCTAGTGCTGTCCAACTAGCAATGAAGGTTGAAGGTCAACAAAGGCAGCCTAGCAATCGTCATATTGCATTGGGAAAAGATCACAGCCAATTTAATGCCGATTATGCTCAAGGTGGCAGTGCTTTGAAACCATCAACGGCCCTATATAATATAGAGAAATTTGGCTCTACCTCTAATTCACAAGGTCGATGTCAAGGACAAGGAAGGGGGTGAGGAAGAGGAGGTAATATCGCTGGAAGGAGCAGCAATCCATCTCAATTTGTCAGTGGAAAACTAATCTGTTACAAGTGTGGAAAAAAGGGTAACAAATCATTGGAATGTAGAAAACTAAACAGTAATTTATTGGTTGCCGGAGAAATTGATGGTTCTAGTAGTCTTGAAGAAGTTTCTGAAGATAATGGAGGGGAAGATGGCTTACTGAAATTTGCTGAAGATGAAGTCACTTGTGAAGACCAAAACTTGTCAAATCTTGTAGTTCAACGAGCTATGTTAACTCCTAAAGTGCAGGAAGGCGATTGGAGGCGTAACAACATTTTTAAAACCAAGTGCACTAGCTATGGAAGACTTTGCAATGTTATTATCGATGGAGGAAGCTGTGAAAATCTAGTTTCGCAAGAAATGGTGACAAAGTTGAATCTTGAAGTTCAACAACATCCAAAGCCATACTGCATAGCATGGTTTAAGAAAGGAGGCGAAGTAAAGGTAACACATCAATGTTTGGTTCCTTTTTCTATTGGAAAATCTTACTCCGATCGAGTTCTATGTGATGTGGTTGAGACGGAGGCATACCATTTATTACTCGGCAGACATTGGCAATTTGACAATCAAACTATACATCACGGGGAAAAGAACGTTTATGCCTTCTATAAAGATGGGGTTAAATTAGTGCTCGCTTCAATGAATGATGAAGACTTTTTCAGAGCCTAAAGCAGCCAATGGAAAATCTTATTTGAGCCTTCGCGCATTTTGACTAAATTTGAGGATACAGGAGTTGATGTGCTATTAACAAAGGAAGTAAAAGATGTCCCGCAAACTCTCTCTTTCGAAGTCAGTGCTCTTCTTGAAGAATTTGCAGAAACTTTTCCTTCAGAATTACCTGTTGGTTTACCTCCAAACCGAATGATTCAACATCATATTGATCTAGTACCTGGAGATAGTCTACCAAATCTACCACGCTATTGAATGAGCCATAAGGAGCATGAAGAACTTCAAAAACAGGTTGAAGGTTTGCTAAAAAGGGGTTTTATTAGGGAATCAATGAGCCCTTGTGCAGTTCCAGCCCTTTTAACTCCAAAAAAGGATGGTACACGGAGAACGTGTATTGACAGTAGAGCTATCAATAAGATCACTGTAAAGTACAGATTTCCAATTCCAAGACTAGATGACATGTTAGATATGTTGCATGGGGCTAAGGTGTTCTCAAAAATTGATTTAAAGAATGGCTACCACCAAATTCGAATTTGTAAAGGGGGACGAGTGGAAGACTACATTTAATATTAAGGAGGGCCTCTACAAGTGGATGGTAATGCCCTTTGGTTTATCAAATGCTCCTAGCACATTAATGCGTTTGATGAATCAAGACCTACAATCATTCATTGGAAAGTTCGTTGTCGTCTATTTTGGATGATATTTTGGTCTACAATTGAGATAAAGACGATCACTTGTTACATTTGAAGGAAGTTCTCAATGTATTACGAGAAGAAAAGCTTTATGCCAATCTAAAAAAACGACAATTTATGACAGATTCCTTGCTGTTTGTGGGGTACATAGTTAGTTCCAAGGGATTCAAGTGGATGAAAGCAAAGTTCAAGCAATAAAAAGCTGGCCAACACCAAATTCAATTGCAAAAGTTCAAAGTTTCCATGGCCTAGCTTCATTTTATGGGCGTTTTATCAAGAATTTCAGCACAATAATTGCTCCAGTTACTGATTTTTTGAAGAAGTATAGAATTGAATGGTCAACAGAAGTTGAAGAAAGTTTCCAGCAGAATAAAAAGAGGCTTTTTTCAGCCCCCGTCTTCGCTTTAGCAGATTTTGAAAATATATTCGAAGTGGAATGTGATGCATCCAGAGTTGGGATTGGTGCTGTACTCAGTCAACAAGAGAAGCCAGAAGCCTATCTCATTCTACAGTGAAAAGCTAAATGATACAATGAAAAGGTACAGTACTTATCAAGAATTTTATGCTATTGTTCAGGCCCTTAAGCATTGGCAGCATTATTTGGTGCATGGAGAGTTTTTTTTATATTCAGACCATGAAGCATTGAAGCATCTCAACAGCCAAAAGAAGTTGAATAAGAGGCATGCACGTTGGGTTGTATTTCTATAGCAGTTTACCTTTGTGATCAAGCACAAATCTGGAGCAAGCAATAAAGTAGCAGATGCACTTAGCCGAAGGACCATGTTATTGACATAAATGACTCGTACTATTGACTATTGAAGGGTTTGACTCTTTCAAGGATATGTATGCTACTGACCTTCTCTTTGGACACATTTGGAAAGATTGCAAAAATAGACTGCAAGGGAACTATTTGCTGCAAGGTGATTTTTTATTTTAAGGTAACCAACTTTGTGTACCCGATTGTTCTTTAAAAGAAAGAATCATTCAAAACACGCACAGTGGAGGCTTGGGAGGGCACTTTGGGCGAGATAAAACTTACACAATGATTGAGCAAAAGTTCTTTAGGCCAAGGATGGGACGGGATGTACATAGATTCATTCGCAAGTGTCAAGTATGCCAACAATCCAAAGGAATAGTGCTAGACACTGGTTTGCATACACCATTGCCCGTACCATTAGCACCTTGGGAGGATGTAAGTATGGACTTCATGATTGGATTACCAAGAAGCCAACGAGGGATGGATTCCATCTTTGTAGTCGTCGATCACTTTTCAAAGATGGCTCATTTTATTAGCAGCAAGAAAACTAGTGATGCATCAAATGTCGTTTGCATGGAGTTCCCAAGTCTATAGTATCAGATCGAGATTCAAAGTTCTTATCACATTTTTGGAGAGCTTTATGGAAAAAACCAGGAACCAAATTGCAATACAGTAGTTCTTACCATCCTCAAACTGATGGACAGACTGAAGTTGTTAATAAGAGTTTCGAAAACCTTTTTTTGCAATGTTGGATTGGGAAAATCCAAAATAATGGGAATCAGTTAGAATTCGCTTACAACTACTCCAAAAATAGAACTACTGGAAAAGGCCCATTTGAGATAGTCTATGGTAAGTAGGGATGGTAATTTGAACCGTTAAAACCGAAAATCGCGGTTAACCGAACCGAATGAGACCAAAAAAATGAAACCGATGGGACGGTTATGGTTTTAATTTTAATGAACCACTTCATTTAGGGGTGAGTATGGTATTTAGCGATGGTGCCCCGCCCCGAACCGATTACCCGTTAAAAAAAATTAATTGGACAATTGGGCTTTCCATTATTCTTCCTCAAAATTAATTGGGCAATTTTGACAACTGAGCTTCCCAGAATTTTGGCCCAATTAACATTAAGTAAACCTTAACCCAATAACCTACCCCACTGCCCAGGTAGCCCAATTTCAATATACCCTACACGTTAAATTAAAACTCAAGTTTACAGTCTCCATCCTACACTTCTCCTCCACTCAAATCCGCCGCCGCCCTCACCAGTTCTGCCCTCATTAGTTCATGATCCATAGCTACTAATAAAAGAGATGGATTTTTTGAAGATATGTGGTGGATTTAAAGACTTAACTTTCTTTGCTCTCAAGAACTGGATGCTTATTGTTTACATTAATACATCGTGTTCAATAATGATGCAGTATTGATTTATATAGTTTTTTAGTTTATTCTGCTTCTAGGATTATGATAATGTTGAATAAACCATTTTAATAAAAATATATTGATTGGTGCCCAGATGTCTTGTCATGGGTCGACGTCTTCTGTTCTGACTCCTCCCGCTTCAGTTGGAAGTGCTTCAGTTGAAGTTGGAGATACTGCTACTGACATTCAAGATGATACATCAAGTACACCGGGTACTTCACAAAATCCAAGTGAGGTAAATGCAAATCCTACTCATATAGATTTAGGTGATGATGAGGAGTCGACTGAGGAAATTAGAAAAAGAAAATTGATCTCTACAGTATGGCAGCATTTCAAACTACAGAGAATTAATAATGTGCCCAAAGCAATTTGTAAACAATGCAAGAAACAAATGTTTTTGAACTAATTTAAAGAACCTAGTGGTAGGACTACAATGGGGCCATTTCATTTATTTTTATCAAGAGAGGTTGGAACGAACTTGCAAATATGATCATCCTACATAAATATCATATTTCAATGGTTGAGCATTCTGGGTTTAGAAAATTTTGTAATACAATTCAATCATTATTTAAAGTTGTTTCTCGTAATACCATCAAGGCTGATATCTTGAGAATTTATGATTACGAGAGAACGAAAGTAATAGACTTGTTAGAGGGGACCAATAGTAGAATAGCAGTCACTACCGATACGTGGACATCCAATCAAAAGAAGGGATTTATGGCTATTACAATTTTTTTTCACTTTGACGTTTGGAGTTTGGACTTATAAAAAATAATTTATTTACGTGGTTATTAACCAAACTGAACCAACTTACATGGTTATAGTGCGGTTATGGTTTTGGTCGAACCGACCCCGAACCGAACGGTTGCCATCCCTAATGGTAAGCAACCAGTCCACTTTTATGATCTAATCCCGATGCCAAAATATGGAAAGAGTAATGTAAAAGGAGAAGATATGGCTGTGAAAATGAAAGAGCTGCAGGATCGCATTAAGTTAAAGATTGAAGAATCGAATTCAAAGTACAAAGAATATGCAGATAAAAAGAGGAGAGACTTAATTAAGGAATCAAAGAGTTAATTAATGTCTTAGTCAAGGAGTCAAAGTGTCAGTCAAGTCTTTGTTTAGTTTTAATTATGTTTTGATATTTGTAGAGTCAACAAAGTCTATTTGTCTTTCCTATATTAAATTAATATGCATTTAGTAATACTAAGAGTCATTTTAAATGTCTAGAAGTCATTGTTGACTATAAAAGAGTCTATGTACTTGGAAGAAAAGGGGGATAGAACATTATTATCAAATAAAGTACCAACGGTGATTTGAGTATTAAATTTGTCTACGTCAAAATGTCATCAATATTTGGGAAGTATTAAACAAAAGTAAATTAAACCAAGTTCCAATAGAGGTTTGAGAACCTTCCAAATCAAGAGAGCCTTCCAAATAATTTCAGAGGCAGAAAGGCAATTTAACCAACCCCAGCGCCTTTTTTCAAAAAGCTTGTCCCATCGTTAGACCAAACCCCAACATCCACCAAACAATCCCCATGCCCACCCCCCACCACCAATGCAACCTTTTTTCCAAAAAAAAAAAGGGAAAATGAGAAATAAAATGGAAAAACTCGCATATAGACTCAAGAATGGGGAGGACGAGAATAAACAAGCGAGAAGAAAGAAATAAGAAAGTAAAGCTGCTCCGTTCTATAGAGTTCCAAACCTAGGCCCGTATGGTTTACATTGTTTGTGCTGATGAAAGTTAAACAAATGATTTGATCACTTGCAAAAATTTTGGATAAGACTAATCAAATTGTTACTCTTCAATCAGTTTTGTAATTCGATTATTCAAATATTTGAAATCAACCAGGGCATTAAGCATCAGCTAAGAAAAGTTAAAAATTAAAGAGCACAGGCCACAGTGTTTGCATAGCCAAAATGGAAAGAATATTCAGATAAGAAAATTAGTCAGAAGCTGGCAACACAAAAAAATTATTTACACCAAAATTCAAAGAAAAAATAATTGTGACCATCTGATGCACAGCATGCTTGATGATACAACCCCATTTGGATGAAGTACGCATCATATAATTTGTGCAAAAACAAAAAAGATGCATAACAGATTAGTAAAACAAAGCTACACAACTTACAAGATGGTTTGATGGCTCATCAAGCAGTAAAATATGAGGCTTCTTGAAAGTTATCTTTGCAAATGCAACTCTGCTTTTCTGACCACCTGCCATATTGTTAAGAGTAGTTCAAAATCTACTTGTACATCCCAGAATAAAACTATTCGCCCTCAACATAAAATGCAATAGATGAAAAAAGTACCAGATAATGTGTACATCGGCTGTAGGGCAAGATTTCCAGTTATTCCAAATGAACCTAAATGACCTCTTAGCTTCTGTTCAGGCACTCCCTGCACAGAACAAAAATATATCAGCGTGCAGATGCATTCAAAATATGTATACACAAGCCAGAAATATGAAGTCCTCAGCATTCAACATTCATGGAATCTTCATTACTTAGTACGCCTAACTCTGAAGGAGAAAGTTTTTTAAAATGAGCACAAACAATCTTCTTAGTGAGCAAAAGTAAAAGCATACAACTTCAGATAAACTCAATTTATCATTGCAATGGTTTTTATTCTCTGTACTTTACATTACAGTTTGAAGTACAAATGTCTCTGTATCAAAGAAATTCCCCTTTCTTTTTATGTAATCAGATTTACAGGCATCCAGAAGAAAGTATAATGAGAAAATTGCATGCTATCGAATCCCCATACATTACAAGGTGCCCCCAGTAATACAGAAACAAGAAAATGCACGTCAACTTATACATTAGGACAAAACATACTGGGAAGCAGCGCATCATATACAGAAGCGGATTTGAAGAGAGGTCTAAGCCGTCAACATGATGCTGACTAAACACAGCAATTCGAACCTGTAAACAAAGCAAGGAGATGTCATCAAGGGAATGGGTGGCAAAATCGTATGCAAAAGAATAACCTACATGCAATCATTTGTCAGCTAAGAGTAACTGCTTGCCAAGCCTTTGCTCAACCATAAAAGCACCATATTTGAAAACGCACAAGATATTAATGGTACAGAAGAATGAATAGCTTGAAGCCACTTAAAGGTATCTAAGACCATTTCCCGAGGAAACAAGCACAGAATACGCAAATGCAGAACAATAATTTGAATATTTGGACCTTATGATGGATTGACAAGATTAGAGAAGCAATGAAACAGGGAAGCCATGACTTCTTCAAGAAGATCACTGTTGGGAAAACACAAGTATACCTTAGCCGAACGGAAAACAGTTCCAGAGCTTGGTTGAAGCTCCCCGGAAATAAGTTTGAGTATAGTTGACTTTCCGATACCATTTGGCCCAACCACTGTAATAAATCATATTAGGAGTCAGAGCACCTTGAAACAATTCAAAATCCTTTACATAAGTAATAGGAGCCCTATGGTTTTTTCCATGATCATACAGTGTTCTAATGTTGACAGTACAGAAAACAGACTAATAGGTAGATGTATCCTAAAGTTTTAACAGAATTATTCATAAAGGTAGAGCACTTAACAGGTTCAGAAAAAGTCTTACTTGCTATTCGGCTATCAAGATCTATTCCAAAATTCAAATTCTTAAACAATGTCGGGCCTCCAGGATATGCAAAGGATGCATCACTGCAATTGTTACAAAGATTAACAAAGTCAAGTAATTGTCTTCAAAAAGAACAGAAAAACAAAGTAGTTGAACAAGAACTTAAATGAAGCAGATCGAAAGACAATTAACCACAAGTTTTAATGCTTTGTTCAACAAACAGAGAACCAGGGAGATAGTTGCTTTTAAATCGTAAGAAGCCCAAGGCACTTAACATTGAAATGTTATTAAGCATCAGTTGTCAAACCTGAAGCTTATAATTGGTGGTCCGGGTCTATCATCAGGAGATGGGAATTCAAACTTGTAGCTGCCCACCATAAAATGGAATAAAGATCAGAATTTATGATAAGGCATCAAAATCACTATTTTCTAGACGTTAACATGTCAACATTGAGTTGGAATCAATAAATAAACTACAAACTACACAAATATAGATTTAAATATAGGCACCAAAATTGTCACAAAAAAAAAATAAAATTGCATACTCAGGATCATTTATAATTTCATCCATGTGACCCAACCGCTCCAGCGCCTGGTAAATATGAGGAAGAGTGAGAATGTAACTAATCTTTTAATAGAAACCGCAAAAGTATTTATGCCCAAAATTTTATTAGCATCGCATCATGATACAATTGAATGAAAGTTGTAAATGGAACTAGAAACTAGGTCATCTTTCACAAGTGAGATCACTCAATGTGATTGCTTGCCAAGCAAGAAAATTTTGAGCAGCCAGAAATAACACAAAGAAATGTACCTTAATTCTTGACTGAACAAGAGATGCACGCTTGGCATTGTAGCGAAATTTGTCAATGAATGACTGCAATAAGAATTTTTTAAAAGAAAAGGCATGGTTAAAATTTCCCATAGAATAAGCATGTATCCATGCAGACACCAAATTTGGAATATGTAGATAAGAAACAAAAAATGAACCTGTATATGGGCTCTTGAGCGTTCGTTTGACTCAAATGCTTTCTGTTGGTTCTTGAGCTGTTCTTCTCTTGTTCTCTCAAATACGTCATAATTTCCTCTGAAAGCAACCAGTTTTTGACCTTGAAGATGTAGAATGTCTGTGACCACCTGTTAAAAGTGATTTAGCAAATGATATGCCAAAGAATGAATCAGCAGGTGGTCAGAGAAATATATACACACTGATTGTCAACTAATTTATATGGAAAGATAGCCAAGAGAGGAAAAAGCATACAGTGTTCAAGAACTCTCTAGCATGTGAAACAACAATAAACGTCTTCGGCCATTTCACAAGGTACGTTTCCAGCCACAAGACAGCATGCAGATCAAGATGATTCTGCCATGAAAGCGGAACAAAAGTGTGTAATTAAGTTCAAATTACATGTGCATACGCTAACAGACAGCAATATGAATAGCATACCGTGGGTTCATCAAGTAGTAATAGATCAGGCTCAATAAACAAAGCACGAGCAAGAGCTATTCTCATTCTCCAACCTCCAGAAAAAGCTTTTGTTGGCTTCTTCTGCATTTCTGGGGAGAAACTCAGACCCTAAGAAATATTGTAACAAGTGGAGAGATGAATTATAAAAACGTCATTATTTCAATTATTGATAATATGTAACAAGGCCAGGTACAGCACGTTGTGACTTTGGAAGTACGGCAGTGAATCATGAGCCTTCAGCAAAGAAGTAAATTCAAAGAGAACCATTTGAATGATTAGTTAACTAACTATTATAGTCTATTAAAAGGTCTGATATGTGGTCAATTGGGGACAAGAAAGAACGGGAGGAAAAAAGAAAAGATAATCAGTACACTGTCAGATGTAAAGAGGTTTCAGCTCACCAGTTGACAGATAGTCATCAACCTATCAAGCCTTTTTCCAAAATGTATAAAATAGGATCCTAATTTATAAGCAGTTAGTACAAAAAATGACATATAACTCCAAGCAAATTGCCTATCGTTGACCACCACTTGTAAAGGCAACGAATACATCTCCTCTCAACAAGCATCATAATAAGTCAAAGATGGCTCAAGACTGCATGATAGCGCAAAAAACATTTAAATGAATTCAGTGCCAGCTCCATTTGAAAGGCCCTAAAAGTGAGATCCAATGGATAACAATACTTTTCTTTAACAAATTAACCACAAGGATTAAGACTGAAAATTTTCTACCTTCTTCCCTTTTTATGTTAAAAATTAGCATGCCTTCTTGCTTGGTATACCTTTTGCTTTCTCTATTTAACATCATCTCCTATTTGGCTATTTCTGCAGACTCTAACCTGGCTCACTTTAAGAAATGAGCAGCATTTGCTTGCCGCTTGTGACTAAAGAAAGTAGGTGTGACACTGAAGCCCATGAATAATTTGGTTGCCATGCGTATGAAGAGGTTTGAGAAACGAACCGCAAGAATAGAAGCTGCACGTGCCTCTGCAGAATAAGCATCAATCAACTCCAGTCTTTTGTATATCTCTTCAAGCCTCTGTCCAATGGCATTTTTGTCAACCCCTCCATTCAGCTCCCCACTGATCTTTTCAGCTTCCCCCTCTAGGTCCATTTCTCTCTAAAGAAGAATTTACATTTCATACAAGGTTTTACACGGGCATGGATTTATTGCACAAAGAAAGTTAAGGCAAATGGAATACAAGGATTGCAACGGAGTAAACTTCATAATTTGAAAGAAGATGTATCAACCTGTGACGCAATCAAGTGAGCTTCTTCTTCCAAAAGCTGGGTTCTTTCAAAATCAGAATTTAGAACACATTCCAAAGCTATTGTATCATCACCAACCACTTCTTGCTCCACGTGTAATATTTGGCAATTTTTTGGGATGCCGTCAATGGCATGCAAGGCCATGTACCTGAGGAAGGTTGTTTTACCTGTACCATTCCTTCCAACGAGGCCTACAAGCAGAGAACAGAATCAATGACTCAAAAGAATTTTAGTTGGACTACCCCACAACTTTATATTTCAACCAACATTTTAACGGCATCATGTGGATGCAAATTTTTATTTTCATTATATTCAATTCCAAATTTATTAGAAATAAGCTTAGCTTCTTGTTATTGTTGGTCAAAGTAGGTAAGTATATTTTAACCAATAAACTTGCTTCCATTCGTGAATTACGCAAAGTTTGTCTAATGTCAATGTAAATATAAATATAAATCTGTAAATGCAATAAAAGCAAACATCACATTTATCAAGGGTTCCTCTCCATAACTAAAAACACACAACATGAACGGATGGACAAGAAAAGGCTTTAACGCAGGAAAAAACTTTTTGGTTTCAATGTGTGTGAATGTTTGTATGTGTAGACACACACTAGGTGAACTTATATAGATCATAGCTAAAATAAAAATCAAACCAACCGTAGTGTCTTCCATGAGATAGAGTCACGCAACCATCAACAATAAGATCACGACCCCCAACGGATATATTAAAATTCTCCATGTGAATATCCCTAACAGCAGGTCCATCACTATGGTCATGATTTACACGTACAGCAGGCATTCCAGCTTTGACTGCTTCCATCTCCTCCAAGTGGTTTTGGTATTGTGCCTATACAACCACACAAGAAATAATGAGAAACCATACAAAAACAGAACCAATCCCCACTGTGACCAATTCCTCCTATCCCCCTGCCCCACCTCCACAACCAAAACATCCCTGGCCCACCCACGCACACAAAAAAAGTAAAAGAAATGCAATGAAACAAAGAAAGTAAAAGGCATTAACAGAACGACTATATCTATACATGTACAATATGCATATACATGTAAAAAGATCGTATTATTGCTATTACCTGAGACGCCTTGCTCTAAAAAAGAGAGTGACTTGCTTAGGCTTTGCATAGTGCGGATTATGACATTAGAGAAAGTGTATATAAATAAAAGATGTGTAGGTCAACTTCTATTCCGAATATTATTTATCATATTACCTATACACTGAATTTAACATAAAGACTATCACTAGGAAAGCATGTAAATGTTGCAGCCATATTCCAGCAGATAATCATTTGACCTTTAATGACACTACTAATCTAACATAATTACAAAAAAAGATTATATTTTCTCTTACCTCTCTCTGGCGATCCTCTTTCCTCTTCCTCCTTTCAAGCTTCATCTTGTCACGCTCAGTCAATAAAGGACCATCCACTGGCTCTGGCTTCTTCTTTGGAGCTTCCTCTTCATCCATTCCATCATACATTCTCAATGGTGCCAAAAGGCTTCTTACTGTTGGTTTTTCTTTCACCAACCCATGCTTCCCAAATTTCTCTGAGATTTTACTGCATACCTATCATAAAATCTCACAGCAAATATTATATTCCACATCAAATATAGAAATAATTAAACCGTCAACTATTTTATTCATTTGTTTTAATCTTCCATGAATTCAGCTGATCAAATCTTACAGAGATATATGATATATGAGTATATACGTAACTTATAAACTAGGATATTAAAAAATAAATTCATTGAATTGAACATTTCAATGGTAATATTAATAAATCTTGTTTTACTCTAAACTGTTTACTTTGTTTCGCTACACATACTTCTGAAATAAAGAGTTAGATAAAGTTCAACGTGATAGCCCTCAGAAAACTGTAAAATAAGAAGAAAGTTAAAAGTTCAACTATCGTTAACTCAATAAACCTTTCAGTTAGAATTAAGTTTTTACACAAGTTTTAATTTCACGAACAAACACATTTTAGAACCCTAAAACTAGCAAAATAATGGATAGTTAAATTCCAGCCGCCAGCAAATTCTCTAATAAAAAAAGTCTTCAGAATAAATCAGAATTCTGGTGGAGAATGGTCGGACATATGAGATTACAATGACCATTAAATATAATTCGGTTAAGGTCTGAATTATCAGAAATCCTATCTAAAAACGCAAGTAGGAGCGCTATTAAACTATTGAAAGATGTCTTCCATCAATACGTACCGATCGGCATTCAGAGTCGTCGGTGACACAGCCAGAATCCACAAGAAGTTCCCCTAGGGCTTCAAAGGCGCCCTCGCCGTCGACACCGAAATCGAAGTCCTCATCGGCCAGGACGTTGATGATATAGTCAACAATTGGCTGGTCCACGTCCTGGATGCGCCGCCCTATGACACCATGCACCACCGTGCTCGCCACATCCGTCATCTTCGAAGGTTGAGGACTACGGATTTTTGTGCTGAGCCGCAATAATAACAATGGAAAAGATGCAACTTTTTCCGTTATAGTGTATAGAGACTGTGGGAGGCTTCGAGACGACGACGTATGAGAGGAGTGGAGTTCGGGTGAATTGCATTTTCCCACCCCAATTTTAAGGAAATACTGCCTTAATCTCTTTAAATTTCTTTTGTTCAAGTAAGGTCCTTTTCTCCAAAACAATTAGCCCCTATTTGGGGTCTATCAAAATGAAATGTGTAGTTAAGAAATAATGAAAAAAAATTATTTATGTATGATAATAAACGTATTTTATACACTTATTCAGAATTTAAAATGATGACATTTGGTAGTTCTTTTAACGAAATATAGTTTAATTTGTGTTATATTGTGTTTAATAGGTAAACTCATGATTTGATAAAATTTGGAGAGAGAAGCCAAAAAGAAAAAAAATGGAGAAATCAAAACTGTGGGAACTAAATTGCAATATACTCAAAAGTTGTGTCGGACCCCATGATAAATATTTGAGAGTGTTATGGGTCAATTGGATCAAAAAAATGTCAAAAGAATGAAATATAATCAAAGTATTATCGTACGTAAGTTTTAGTCGAAAAAGTTATGCTCTGAATTTTCAATCTTATATTGAGACCCATTTTTGACATAGCAAACATTCGAATTGGAAAAAGTTATTTTTAAAAGAATTGTAGCCCCTTTAGTTATATTTCCTACTAACTTTGAATCGCTTCAATCAGATATCAGAAAAAGATATTAGGATAAAAATACTAAAAGCTGCTCGCGACAAGGCTAAGCACATGCCTCCTCCTTTTATGAGACCTCCTACAGCTCCAAAACTGCCTATGGATGGCAACGGTCATTCCCACCCCCGTCCCATCGAGTATTTTTGTCACATTTCCCCATCCCTATGGATGGCAAAGGGTCGGTCATTCCCACACCCGTCTCATCGAGTATTTTTGTCATCTTTCCTCATCCTTATACCCGTTTAGAGCGAGACGAGGTGGGTTCGTAACGGGATAGAGGCGGTGCGGGATAGGTCCCATACCCCATTTATTGCCCAATTTATTTTTTCTTTTTATTTTATTGATTATATTTTTTATGTTTTTACTTAGTAAGTATTATTTTTTTAATCAATTTGTTAGAAACAACTTATATTCTCTTTAAAAATACAATAAATCTATTATTTTTGTTTGATAAAAAATTTAAATTTAAAATTAACTTTAAATGGGACGGGCAGCTAAATGGGGACTATAATTCATGTACCCGCCCCATAACTGCTTCGGGGCAATAACCCTCACCCTGTCCTCGCCCCCGTTTACCCGATTGGCAGGTAATTCCCGCCCTATTCGGGGCGGAACCCCACAGATTTTGGATTAAACGAGTTTTTTTGGCATTCCTAAAACCACCTGAGGCACGTACCTTAGCTAAGACTAGGCGCATGTCCCGAGGTAAAACGGGAAAAAAATCTTTTTCTTTTTCTTTTTTTGGTATCTTCTAGAATGTAATCTTTTTACATTCTATATATATTCCAAAATTTGACCAGAACATCCCAACCTCTATTGGACCTAATTCTACGTATATTCTACATATTTTGGAAGTGAAGAACAAGTCTACACATCAAATCAAAGTGAATCATACAAGAAATTTGAAAATTCATAGCCCGATTCCAAGATTAAGCCAAAAATGTAGATCTTTCTTACTTCTTCCATCTTTTTTTAATTTCGTGTGATATTTTTTCAATTATTTTTGTGTAATTTAATTATAAGAATGTTATACTAAATTTTTGGAAAAATTACGGCCACGATACCAAACATTTCATTTAGTAGCAAACTTGATCCAAACCTTTCATTTGTGCCATTCACGGTACCAAACCGTTCAAAAATCTGCACTTAGAGTCCAAATGGATGAAAATCGTGATTTGACCATCGGTTGACCTAAAAATTCAAAAATTGATAATTTTGACCAACAAAGACAAGGGCATTTTAGTCATATCACATATCCTCTTTTAAAAATCAAAAATAGTCTTCTTCTTTCCAACACCCCACCACATACCCATCCTGCCCCAACACTAACTTGAACAAATTAAAAACCCATCCAATCCACCGTCGGGCCACTATCGCTACCACTGCAACTCTTTCCACAAACACACAGTCACTTCCTATTTGGTCGCCGGAATCCCTAGTTTCTATTTATCTTCTTGCTCAGAACTTGTATCTATTGATGAACCAGTGGTGGTTCCAAGGCTGACTGTTGCGCAAGCTCGTCAATGGCTACCTTAGCCTTCTTTACTAACCAATGTACCGCTATACTTGGGCAGTCATAGCTAAGGCAGTCCTGTACAACATAGAACTGAAGGCAATATATGCGACAAGGCAAACGCGGCGATCCCTCGGTCCTTTTGCAGTGATGATAATTTTTCCCCATCTTCGGTTACTGTGGTTGTTGAGATGATATTTCTTCTAAACTTCCAAAGATTGATGGCTGATTTTACTGAAAAAAAAACTCTAAAGACTGATGAACTAGAGGTGGTAATAGACATCGGACGACAGCGATGCTACTGGTTGTAATTGTTATTTCTCCTCCTGGTGGTGGCGACAATTAGGTTTTAATTCAATTTCCTCTCTAAATTCAGCCAACATGCACAGGATTTTATGTGTGTATATAGAGTTAAATAAACGACTGCTCACTGAATTTTACTCTTGGTTACCACTTGCTCACCCAAAAATAAAATGTGTATATATGTATTTGGTAGATGTGAATGGAATGTAGATTGGAATTGGATGCTGGGATTAGAGAAACTCACGTATTTGTCGGAATTACAGTAACTTATGTGTGTGCTGTGATTGTGGATTGCTTGATGCGTGGTTGTTCGGACGGAGATTTGTTGACGATTTTGGTGGCGATGATTCTTGGTGGTCATTTTGGATTTTTGATGGTTTTGGACCAATCAGGGGCTTTTCTAAATGGTTGTAGGTGGTGGCGATTGTTGTAATGGATGTTATGCTAATGGTGTTGTGGTGTGGCATTGGTTCCACAATGGTACCGTCATATTTTCAGGGGATGAGATTTGTGAAGAAGATGAAGAGTGTTACCTTTTCTTACTGAAATTTTATATTATTTTATGTTAAAATTATGAAGTTACCATTTTACCCTTTGTTGATTTTGTCAAAAAAAAAATAAAATTTGAAGTCAACTAACAGCCAAACTAACGGTTTCCATCCATTTGGACTCCTAACGCGAATTTTTAAAAGGTTTGGTATCGTGAGTGACACATATTAAATGTTTGGATCATGTCTGTTACTAAATGAAATGTTTGGCATCGTGGCTACAATTTTTTCTAAATTTTTCATTGTATTGAATAGATGATGAACCTTATTAGTTGTTTTTAATTTAAGACTCGTTAATTTAGAAATTTCTTGAGTTTCTTGATTATTTATATATCTACATTGTGCCGTTTGAATATTTGATCACCATTTAGATAACTTGCCCTGTATTCATAATGCTGGAAGACTCATAATAGGTAGAACACTACATATTTAATATATTGTCAATAAATATTAGGAATACTATGTATAGCGTATGTAATCGTGTGAAATAATTATGTTATTAAATGCATGTTTTTAATATGAATTCAGATTAGGAATATGATCGTGCCGTGTTAAGCATATGTTTGGTATTTCTTGAAAAATGATATTAAATAAAATTGAATTATTTATTGTCATTAACATTAGGAAAATAATACTACTTTTTATAGAGCAAGAATTGGAAATAATACTAATATGGAGATTCAGAAATTTAATACATTCATTACATATTTGCTAAAAACGACTCTTAATTTCGTTCTTAGTTAAACTAGATTAGAAAATCATAACAAGTCTCTTTTGATATTATTCTTTATCGAACTTGATAATAACTAGTAGATTGAAATTAAATATTATTTATCATGGGGCGATAAATCTAAACTCACTTTATCTATTCCTTTTCAACGATCTCATACGCTTGCGAAATTTTACCGAACATACAATATTACTTTATGAGTGAATATGTGATTCAAAAGAATTTTTAGAAAAAATTAATGTTATTCAGTGTCAAACACCAGTTTAGCTGGCAATTGCATGCCATTAAATGATACGTTCACTTAAATGCAATGTGACATGATTTATTTAATTAAAATTATTAAATGTGCACGCTTACATCAGTGCTTTAGTACCATTGACACTATATAACTTTATTTTTTAGAAAAATGTATTTTTTAAAAATAGATCCCAAACAGAAGGCTTAATATGTTGCTTATATAATTTTACAAACTTTGCACACAATGATTATTGAAAAACGCAGGATTCGACCCAACTATACCAAGAGGGGGTGACTAGGTGTAAATGCGAAATTATCAATCTAATTAACTAGCAACATGTCACAAGTTAATTATATCTAGGTAATTAGTCAAACAATCCAATTTAGCCTATATTTGAATACCACAGTTATATCACAACAATAAATAAAGCAGTAAACAATACTAGAATTGTTCACGAAGAAACCCAACGTGGGAAAAACTTCGAGCGCTTTACCAGTCAAAGATCCACTATAAACTGATAATACACTTACAGACCACCAGGAAAGTTGACAACACAAGTTTTCCGATCTCCTGTTTGAAGTAAGAAGCAGCCCTCCAGGAATGTGCACACGAACACCAAACCCGACCCTTCTTTGTAAATCAGCCCTCCTGCAATGAGCACACAAACTCCAATCCTGACTTTTTACGCAATTTATCTCCTATAGATCTTCCCCAAGAACTCCTCGTTCTTCAAAGTCTTCCTTGATCTTTTATGCAGAACACAGGGACAGATGGAGGGCTGTAGCCCAGTCCAGCTCCAGATTTTTTTTTTTTTTTGGGACAAGGCTAGTTAAAAAATCAACCCAGTCCATCCAGTTTTTTTTTGGACAAGCCCACCCAATTAAAACGTAACCCAAATTACTCA